AGATGAGATGCTGCCGTTCTCAGAGCTGCGGGGAACTGGCCTCCGACGCCCCGGACCAGGCTCCTTCTTCTCCTCTTTCCCGGCATCCTCAGGTAGGGGGCAGCCTGCCTGTTGCTGCCAGCCTGTCCTCCCTGGGCACCTGCCCCACTGGAGAGGGCACCTGTGTGGTCCCAGCTCCAGCTTTCTCCTGGGTCGCTCCGGCTCCCTGGCCCGGCCCGGCCCAAACCTCCTCCCCTTGGCTCTGGCTCCGGCTCCGGCTCCCCAGCCCGGCCCAAACTGCCTCCCCTCGGCTCCGGCGACTCAGGGACAGTCTCGCCCTGCGAATCCTGGACAGACATTTTCTATCCCAGTTTCACACCCGCCCTGCAGTGCATCCCCTGGCTGACCCGTTACCGCCCCGTCACCCTTTCACACCCGGCCAAGGGACCCCCTGCGATCCCACGGGGCTCCCCGGGGCCTGGCCCAGGCTGGGGGCTCCTGCTGTGAGGTTGTCGCCTTGTTTTTCAGATTTCTTCTCCTCGTCCTTCAGCCCCGGCACCGACCCCGGAATCGGCTTCCGCTCGGTTTCCACCTCCACCACCTTCGTCAACGGCAAACGCATCACCACGAAGAGGTAGGGATGGACCAGGGCGGACTGTCCAATGGCCAAGCCAGCCTGTCTCCCAGCAACACGGCAGCTGCTACAGGGGACCAGATCATGGGGCCAGCCAGGCGGGTGCCCCACCTCCCGCCACGCCAGTGCCCTCCATGGGGTCAGCCAGTCCCACGTCCTGCCGCGCCAGAGCCCACCCTTCCTGGGGCTCAGCTGTGTCCAGGCAGGGTCCCCCCATCTCCGCTGCCTCCTGCAGCAGCTGTTCTGTTTGACCTGCTGACCCGGCCCGACTAGCGCAGCTTCTGCCCTTTATAACCTCCCAGCTCCTCTGCCGGGTGACGCCTCCATCAGCCCCAGCCAGGGAGCCCAGAGTCCTACCAGGAGGCTTTGTTGCCTGGCAACCTGTCAGCACAGTGGTGGGCAGGGGAGATAGTTCAGAGCGATTCCCTTGCAATGGGAGAGCACTTTAAATCAATGACCTGCGCCCCCTGGGCGTGTCGCTTGCGCCCGAGGTCAGGAGATCCTGAGACGGTAACGACCAGCCCACGCTCAGAATGGAGTTGGCAGCTGCCCCCGACACACATGGAGCCCGTAGCCTGGCACAATCCCTAGACGGCACGCACAGTGCCCCCACCCCGTCCCCGGGGGACCCTCCGCGGGGTGCTGCCCTGGCCGGCTGGCTGACCTGGCGCTGTCTGTCTCTGCAGGATTGTGGAGAATGGGCAGGAGCGGGTGGAGGTGGAAGAGGACGGGGAGCTGAAATCGATCCATGTTAACGG